CTAAGTACAATTGTTAAAAACAAAAAAATAGAACTGGCATCTATATGGGATCCTGGGCGTGTGTAAGGTGAGCAATTTATCTGCTAGGCTATCACACCAGGCCCCAGAATTTTTAAAAGCAAAGCTTTTCGTGAGATACTTTATGATTAGAAAAAAACTTGAAATTTCCATGTTAACACCTATATATTCATCCACATGAATGAAGGCACAATGTAAGGTGACCAATATGCCCGTTTATTTTCTGGACATATTAGCACATATCAGCAGAAGACCTAACTGATGAAGTTTCTTTTTGATTTGGTCTTATTTCTTAAAGCTCTTTGATTTAGGCAAAACTGCTTCTTGTATCCCTGAATTTCCATTTCCCAAAGAGGTGTCATTTTGCAACATTTTCTCTGGTACCCATCTTTGACTCCCTCGCTTTTCACACAGCTTCCCTCTCCCCCAAACTGTTGTTTGTTCAGATTGAGCTCATTTACCGAAAGGAATGAGTAAATGGTTACTTTCCAAAAGCAGTTATATTTTAAAAGAAAACCATGTCCTAAATGAATCTCTAATTGGCGAATTTCAGGCAATATAACAATCTCACTAGATTTCAGATCCTCCCCTCTTAAACATGCTGCAGGGCGATCGCCTAGCAGAGTGCTGGTCCAGGCTCTTGAAGCCTTAGAACTCTTGCATCCTGCAAAAGTGGGCGATAGCTCAGTGCGAGGAAGAAATAAGGAGCTCAAATACTCACTTGAAGAGGAAATAAGTGCCTAGAACCTTCCCAACTCTTCCCTGCTTCTCTCCACCAACTACTACTTTAAAGGCACATCCTTCTGAACAACCCCAGCCAAAGGCTAGTTTCTGGTCTCACATCATTGCCACACACGTACGGTGAGAAACTGATCTACAAGGAGAGAACTCACCTTCACACAGCTGAAACAAACTTATGGCATCTGGTGGGTCTCAGGACGGAGAGTCTCATGCCTGGATCCCAGACCACAGCTACCATGTGCACGTGGTGAGCTGTCCCCAGGTGGCCAGTGCGCCATTTGGTGCCAGGCTTCCCCTGCTGGCCGTCCGGCCAGGGAGCTCTGGGGTTTTGGTTTTTTGAGTCGCTACTTAGTTAGCTCCAGGTTGAACCCATTGTGCTTCTTGGACCTGAAACAGGCAGTAACTCTTCCTTTGTAAAACTTGTAATCACTAACAATGCTGACCACCAAATACCAGTCCATGCAGAAGCTATGGCTTGGGTCTTGTCCTGCAAAAGTAGCTCCAACAGCTGGCTAATGTGTCAACTGGTAATGGAACAGAGTGGACAGGGCAGGACTGAGCAAACCTTAGCCCACAAGCAAAACTAGAGACCAGGAGCGAGCAGAGGTCATGTCGAGCTAGGCTCTTGTATCTATGGGTCTGCATGAGTCAGGGATGCTAAGCCACAGTGTCTAAGGCAGAGGTCGGGACAGGTGAGGGGCTGAGCCAAGCTGAGTCAGAACATCCACTGGCAGGCAAATGATGTATGGCTGGGAACAGGCCAGGTTGGGGAGCTAAGGGGACAACCCTAGCCGAGTAGAGGTTCCCACCAAGGGGCACGTGGCCTGCAATGCGGGCTGCGTTCTGATCTGGAAACGGTTGTAGTCTCCCTTGGCACAAGTGTGGACTGGGATTGGATGTACCAAACAGGGCCAGAGCCCAACATCCCCTGGTGTCCTGGAGGACCAGGGCAGATGTGTGATGGACTAAGCAAGGTCTCAACCCCTACTGAGCCATGCGTGAGTCATATGTGGGTATGGACAAACCATGGCTGGGCTGGAACATCCAACAGCAAGAACCAGATTGGGTTGAAGGCCAGTCAGGAAAAGCCACTGTTCCTGCTAGGCAGGAGGGAGACTGAGTAGGGCTGGCTCATGTGCCCGCTGGTATGCGTGAAACCTGGCATTGGGAGAGGTTCTGATGGAGGAGCCTGGGCAACTCCTTTGGCAGGACACAGACCCGGCAAGTAAGCGCAAGAAACAAGATAGGAAACAGCCCAGAACAGGCCATGGAAAGTTACCCACTGCATAGAATTGGCAGGGGTTGGGGGAAGACCAAGCTGAATCTGTCCACGTCATCCACTGGCAAATCCAAGCACCAATGTAGGTCGAGCCAGGTTCGGTCACAACAAAGACTAGTGCCCAATACGGAATGCCAAGGTGAGGTTGCCTGTACCGGATGTGACTGCAGCACCCAACCAGCATGAGAACCAGGAAGGGAGGGGGCAGAGCCGGCAGGGGAATAAGGGAGGGTTCCTTTGCTGGACAGCTACTCCCACAGGAGAGCATAGGCTGGGATGGGGGCAGATCAGAGTAGGCAGAGCTACCACACCTGTGCACCTCATGTGGCCTAGATCAGGAAAAACCAGGCTGGGCTGATTATTCCTACTGGTGCAAACAAAATTAGAGTGGGTGAGGGTTGTTTGGGCTTAGCTACAGCATCAGCTGGTAGAAGCTGGCACTGTGGCCTAGTTCTGTCAAGTCAAACCACAGAACTATCTGTAGCGTGCATAATCTGGGAGTGGGAGAGGGCTGGGAGGGAAATAGTGGGCTCCTCCCTCTTGGGTTACCACTTCCACGGGAGGACATAAAACTAAGACAGCGGCTGGGGTGGAATGGGGTGTGGGACAGACTGGATTACTGCTACACATACTGGCAAACCAGGGTAGGGGGCAGGCCTGGTGGGGGTTATTGCGGGTTGCTCCAACTAGGCTGCAGCTCACACTGGTTTATGTGAGAGCCAAGTATGTGCTGGGCAGAACCAGGCTGGAGTGCAACACCCATTGGTTCCAGTGGAGGTCGGGGGTGAAAACAGAACCAACCCAGCAATTACAACCACCAGCTGATCAGGGCGATGGGCTGTGCTGGGCCCTGCACTTGCTAGCACATACAAGAAGTTTCTTTGGAGATCTTCCTAATCTAAATGCTGGACTGAGAACCCAAACCAAGAAAAGAGAGAAGACAGAACAGGTCAACCAACCATCTCAGCTAGGATGAACTATGTCAATCAGTGGATTTTTCAAAGACCTCATAGTGCTTGGAGTGGCAAGACTGGCAGCGATTCATAACTGTTGCAATATCAAAACCACTTGAGCAAGAACCTCAGAGCATGCCCTACATCCGGGACCCGGGGAGGGTGGGAAATTGGGTGGGCCTTCTCCCTTAATACCCCCCTTTAAACATGAAGGAAACAATATGGAAAAAAAAACTTATGGCATCTATCACAATAATAAATCACACTCCCTATTTTTATAAACTTTGAGGATGTAGGAAGACACTGAACAGAAAGACAAGAATTGAACAGTGTTAGGTGTTTAGATCTTGCCTGCTATCCTTTGTGATGTACCCCATGTCTGAAGCCTGGGCTGTGGGACATGGAGGTGTTGTTGATAATGGTCAAGTCAGTGAATGCTTGAAATCAGCATCACTGTTTCATGCTCCTTTGGGCAACCTGGTTTTTCCCACACTAGAGTTTTCTTTTCCTCAAAGGTCAAATTTCATTCAACCATCAAACACATTGTTTTCTCCCCCCGAAGTGAGAATCCCAGTGGTATTTTCCTAGTAGAAACAGCTTGGAAGAAGTGGCCTCTTTTGGCTGAGCTGTGTACTTTCATTTCTCACTCCATGGGATCTTTCAAACTCTGTTGCCTTCCTCTTAACCCTGTCCCTCCTCCGGGTTAAAGCTTCTGCCACCCACCCAGGCACTAAGCAAGACCTACCAAGATATCCTAAAGAAACGAGCACCACTACTTCTCTGGCAGTCACAGGCAGGCACACAACACGAGTGAGGATCTCAACACTATTGCTCTACTGGATGTCTGCTGTGTGTGTGTTTGGGAGTGCGGTCCTGACCTGAGCAAGGTCGAATGTTTAGCAAAGGCCCTGGCCTGAAGATGCCAATGGCACCTACTCCATTCTAGGTTATAACAATAGCAAATTTCCACAGGCATTGTCAAAGGTTGCCAGAGGCTGATGGCCACTGATGTGGGTATCCCTTTTGTCTCACAACATCCTCTAAAGTAAATAGCGCAACCTCATGTCACTCTGAGCAGGTGAGCACAGGGGACCTTTGAGGAGTGACAAGTTAAGGACCTGAATGTGGCGGCGCTGATCCCAAACAGATTCTGTTAAAAACCACTTCTCATTCTCTCCGCTGCAGCTGTTGTCCCATTCTCCCTTGCCTCTGGAGGCTTTTCTTTTCTTTTTCTAAATCTGTGTTCAGCTTTCAGGTGGCTCATCTTGATCTTGCCCTTGGCTTTCTGTTTCTCAAGCAAGTGTCTTAGTTCAGATCCCTGTCTCTTCCCTAGCTTATCCTAACCAGGCCCTGCAGTTTATCTCCCCTGGCTTCAGTGCCTTCATGTTTCAATCTTACTTTCACATTGCTAGGAGCTAATGCTCTCTAACAGATATTATCATACAACTGCTTGATTGAAAAACCTGTGCTGTCTACATAGCCTACAGCAGTCATTCCCAGAGGGTGGTGCTGGGCCCCTGCAGCATCACTATCAAATCAGAAAGAGCAGGGTGGGACCCCAGAACTGCTTCCTCCCAGGCGGCTTTCATGCTCAAGAATTTATTTATTTATTTATTTGAAAGCCAGAGTTACTGAAAGAAAAAAAAAAAAAAAAGAGAGGTGAAATGGATGCCACTGGACCAGATGGAAGTCAAGAGCTCCATCTGGGTGTCCCCACAGGTGGAAACGGGGTCCCAAGCATTTGTGCCATCTCCCCCTGCTTTTCCCGGCCATTAGCAGGGCACAGGATGGGAAGTGGAGTCCCCAGGACTTGAACATTGTGGGATTCTGGTGTCACAGACAGCAGCTTTAGGGACACAATGCGGGCCCAGGATGCTCAGGGCTTTGAGAGCCTCTGGCTTACCTGTGAGTTCTAATGCCTTCAGCAGAAACCCCCACTTCCGTTCCCACCTGGTACTTTCCATCACTTTCCCCCTCTCTGATTCACATTTGCTGTGCTTTCGGTTTCACTCCTCTGTGAGCTATCAAATGTGCATTTGTCTTTCTGTGCTAATCATCAACCCTATAACCATTACAGCTCAGCTCCGGACTGGCTTACTGATCTGGGCTGGGTGCTTCAGCCACACCCCTCCCCCCACCTGGAGTTAGAAACAGACCCTGATGTTTTGAACCACTAGCCTCTGCCCTTGTGTCTCCTTCTTCCTGTTAAAGTGCCAGGTAAGTCTTTTCTTGAATTAGTAGCAGGACTCCTTTTTGTTCTCCTATGTGCCTGCCAGTCATTTCACTTCCCTCCGGGTGACCTCCATGACAAGTGCTCCAGTCTTTGAATAGTCAGGATTGTGACCATGAGAGCTTTATAAGAACACGATGCCGGAACACAGTCCCAGATCTACTAGAAACAGAGCCCTGCAAGCCCGAATTAAACAAAACAAAACAAAAAACAACCCCCCACACCATAGCTAAATCACTGTTGAATGTTCTGCACCGAGCAGGTGTTTAATTGCTATTTCAGGATGGCCTGGTATTTCCTCAGCATTGCTGGCCAGGAAATGAACCCGACTTATCCCTCAGCCTCGTGGGTTCTCAGCCCCTTCTTTCGATTTCTTTTTCCTTTTCCTCTAAAGGTGGTCCTGAGGACTGGAAGTTACTCCCCTACATCGGCTTGAACTAACTCCATTCCAGGTCGCCAAGGGGCGTGGCCCAGCTGTTCCCCCTGAGAGCCGAAGGGGAAGTGGTTCCTGGGCGGGCGCAATCTCCAAGCAGAGAGCGAGAAATCGAAACTTGAGCTGTTAAAACTGCTGCCCCAGTCCTTGGAAATCATTCCTTCACCCTGCCAGGCCCGCATCCCTCCTGCAGCGGCGGCGGTGCACAGGGATCTGGGCGCTCCCAGCCATGAGCACACCCAGCAAGGTGCTGGGCTCTGGGCTCCGCGGCTCGCCCGCCGTCCCGGGAAACCAGGACCCGCGTGGGTACCGCGGGGAGCTCAGCTCCCTGCAGGGCAACAGACCGAATTTGGAGGCACCCCGGAACTCGGCGCAGGACTCTCAGCAGCTTGCGGGCCAGAGGTAGTGAGTCCTTAACTACTGGGCTTGGGGGTCGGGAACTCCAGCCCCAGACTGGTTCACAGGCAATTTGTTGATCTCTTAGGTTCGAAACCACGGGGGTCCAAGAAAAAAGGTTTTGAGAGATTGAAGTCCATTTGCCTATGTTAAGTCATCTGCGAGTTTCCTCGAACACTGGCAATCTGTCCTTTACCCAGCTCTTGTTTCTTTTTTTTTTTTTTAAGATTTATTTTATTTTTATTGGAAAGGTGGATATACAGAGAGGAGGAGAGACAGAGAGGAAGATCTTCCATCCGATGATTTACTCCCCACCGGCCAATGCTATGCCAATCAGAAGCCAGGAACCAGGAACTTCCCCCAGGCATCCCACGTGGGTGCGGGGTCCCAAGGCCTTGGGCCGTCCTCGACTGCTTTCCCAGGCCACAAGCAGGGAGCTGGATGGGCAGTGGAGCTGTCGGGATCAGAACCGGTGCCCATATGGGATCCTGGGGAGTTCAAGGCGAGGACTTTAGCTGCTAGGCCACCCTGCTGGCCCAGCTCTTGTTTCTTTTCAACAACATAGTTGTCTGGTTTGACAACATAGTTGTCTGCAGCCCCGAAGACCATGTAAGACCCAAAAAATCAACCTGTAGTGGGCTTACTTTTTAGTTAATCATTTGTAGCCCAAGAATGAGGTTAGAAACATTCCGGTTGAAAGGTTGAAAGACGTGGGGCCCCACACAATGGCTCACTGGCTAATGTACTCCAGACAGGTGTCATTTCACGTCCCAGCTGCTCCACTTCTAGCCAGCTCCCTGCTTGTGGCCTGGGAAAGCAGGGATGGGTGCCCCAAAGCCTTGAGTCCCTGCACCAGTGTGAGAGACCAGAAAGAAGCTCCTGGCTCCTGACTTCGGATTTGCTCAGTTCCAGCTATTGCAGCCATTTGGGGAGTGAACCACTGGATAGAAAATCTGTCTCTCCTCTGCATAAATCTGATCTTCCTTTCCAATAAAAATAAATAAATCAGAGGGAAGAAATTTAAAGAATTTTATTTATTTATTTATTTATTTATTTAATTTTTATTGGAAAGGCAGCTTTACAGAGAAGAGAGACAGAAAAATTTTTCATCTGCTGGATCATTCCCCACAGCAGCTGGAGCCTAGCCCATCCAAACCGACTAGCAGCTGCAGGGTCCCAAGACTTTATGCCATTCTCTAGTGCTTTTCCAGACCGCAAGCAGGGAGCAGAACGGGAGGTGGAGCATCTGGGGCACAAAGGTCCCTCTATGGGATCCTAGCGCAGGCTAGGTGAGGACTTAGCCCCTAGGCTATCACGTTGGTCCCAGAAAAAATTTCAAAAGAAAGAGAGACATGGATGTGTGGAGAGCTGCAGAACTCACTTGTGTCAAAGTGTATTTTTTCCTTGTTGTTTTACAAAGTGGGTGTCCTATATAGAATTGCCACATCAGATGCCAGGGTGAGGACCAAGAAGGAGTGTGAGTGGAGTTGCTGATTCTGTAGTAGTGAGCCTAACTCCCTGCAAGCCTCCCAGGTCAACTGGTCTCCTAGGAGGGAAGAAATACTAGGTTGACCACAGGGGTCGATCCGAGTCACAAGTGGACAGGAGTGTGTCTGGCCTCTGATGCTGATTTATTTTATTTTTATTGGAACGTCAGAATACAGAGAGGAGGAGAGACAGAGAGGAAGATCTTCCATCCCTTGATTCACTCCCCAAGCCTTCGCAACAGCTGGAGCTGAGCCATCTGAAGTCAGGAGCCAGGAGCTTGCTTCCGTGTCTCCCATGCGAGTGCAGGGTTCCAAGGCTTTGGGCCGTCCTTGACTGCTTTCCCAGGTCACAGGCAGGGAGCTGGACAGGAAATGAGACTGCCGGGATTAGAATTGGTGCCCATATGGGATCCCAGTGTGTAGAAGGCGAGGAGGACTGTAGATGCTAGGCTATGGTGCCGGGTCCACGGCATTGATTTTTGGCCTTTGATCTAGAGACTAGAGTGGGTATCCTGGAAGCATTTGTTAAACAGTATCAGAGATTCTCTGCCCAGTGGAACGACCCTCCCTACCGCCACGGCGGTTAGTAAAGCTGTTAGTTTCAGTGAAGTACTGCCTCCGTGCATCGAGACCATCCACATGGCTCTATTTTTAGTTTCTTCATTTTTAGGGACTTCTATTGACACGAGAGACAAATGCTGGTTGCTATGAAACAGTGTGATCTTTTGACTAGTAAATAGTCGATTTTCTTTTATCCTTTAACTTTTCAAAGTACCAGGTCTTTAATATTATCCAGGTTAAGGTTACCTTTGAATCTAGTCAAAATCAAATTGGAAATAATTGCATTTCTTGCCTCGAACGAGTTGCACTCTTGCCATGATAGAAACTCATTAATTTCAAGTACACTCTCTTACTGTAATTTGCGACATTTAATAGTAACAGAGGTCACGAACCGCCATAGTCTCCTCTGCATGCAGGGTTAGCTGTAAACACCGTTTACCTGCCCTTTCTATTATAAAGCATCTATTTAGGTATGACCATTTATTTGCAAACTTGCAAGCATCAGAAGTTGCATCTGTTTCCCTATTTGATTGTATTCCCCTGCATCCCCCCATCCACACCAAGCCTTGCTGTGCCCACTTGTGCAAAAGGGAGGAGTGTTCTGCTAAGCGATCCAGGCTTCAGGTCTGTAAGGCGTCTGCCTCGTAGCGTTTTGTGATAACTATGATTTGCAGGTAGATCATTGAGGAGTGCCTGGAGGAGTTCGGTTGTCTCTTGCAGAGGGAAGCCGTGCTGGTGAGCAGAGCGGGGCGCTGGCAGAGCCATTCCCTGCCTGGAGGCCTGCCTCTAACAATCCTATTCGGATTGCTGAATTCTTGTTTCTCTGCCAGGACGCACTGCTCTGCTTCTTCGCTTACCTTCTTTAATGAAGCTGGGCTACTTACAAGGAGGGATCAAACATCTCAGAAAAGTCAATAGTAACAAATTAAAGGTTTATTTATTTATTTTGGGCAAATAGCAGCTTTTTGTTGAAGCGTTTTAGAAGGGAGAGTGAAGGGATGCGCTTTAGCAGCGAAGGGTCGTGTCCACTCAGTGACGGTCCTGCCATGCCCTCTTGTCTCCCCTTCATTCATGCGGACAGCTGTGTGTGAGATCGGGAACGCGAACTCCAGCTCGTGTTCCGAGGGGGCTGCTATCTTCGATTAAGGTGCTTAGTTATAGTATGTTTCACTTTCCCCATTACTTAAAATGAGATAATACCAATATCATAGGGCTTTTTAAAATAAAATGTATACACATAAAACATGAACTGTAGGCTGGGCAAAGCAATATTAAAAGAAAAAAAAGCCTTGGGTGCCTGAGAGCCTTGGATTCAGTGAGCAGCTGTGTGTTGGCGGGCGCTGTGCAGTCTAATAACTCGTGTCTGTGTCTTGCAGAAGCGCACTGATTGAAAGCACCGTTTACACGTTCCGGAGATTCAGCAGGGAGGGGCCGCGCGAGCTCGCCCACAGGCTCGGCAAGGCCGCAGTGCTGCACGTCTGAATGAGTGATTAGCGGAATTTAATAATTCGTACTGGCTTTCCTCAATCGCCTTTTCTTGGTGGTGTTAATCTTGTCTCCAGGTGTCATAAGTTACCCACAGAGATTTCACGGAGACATTTGATCCAGAAGAATCTACTGCCCTCCCTTTTGATATTTTGCTTGTTGGTATACAACTTTCAGTCACTTACATCACTTTTAGAAAAAAAGACTTAAAAACATTTTTTTTTTTTCCAGTTGGAAAGGCAGAGCTACAGGGAGCAGACACAGAGAGAAAGCTCTTCTATCCAGTGGTTCACTCTCCAAGTGGCCGCAATGGCAGGAGCTGCGCTGATCCAAAGGAGCCAGGAACTTCTTCCAGGTCTCCCACACAGGCGCAGGGTCCCAAGGCTTTGGGCCGTCCTCCACTGCTTTCCCAGGCCACAAGCAGGGAGCTGGATGGGAAGTGGGGCTGCTGGGACATGAACTAACGTACATACTGGATCTTAGCACTTGCAAGGCTAGGATTTTAACCACTAGGCTACCACACTGGGCCCCCAAAACTTTAAAATCAAAAACAAACAAACAAAAAATCTGTGTTTTACTAATTCTGGTCAGTAGACTCTATCCTGTGATTGTAATACACTTGATTGAGACACGCATCTATTACGTGATGTGATCCTTTTGCTTGATACTATTTGAAGGACGTAAAGAGATGCTGAAGATGGACTTATAATACTGACTTTTACTATAAGCCAATTTTAACAAAAGGCTTACTGAATTTGTATGTAAATTAATATATTTGCAGCCTATGCTGAGCATGTTAGAGGCTTAAAATGAGTAATAATAAGAGCAGGCACGCATGGTGAGCTTACTATGTGAGAGTGTTTTACATATATTAGTTCTTTCAATCTCACATTCTCACAACAAGATCTCTAGTCCTTTATAATTAATTGGTGATCTAGGGACAAAGACAGCTATTCAATAAAAATGAAATCGGTGTACTTGTTGGGGCAGAAGTGATTCTTGACGTGTGGTGTGAGAAGCCTGGACCTGAGCTCGTCAGAGGGGCGACAGGTGATGTTTGTGCTTTAACATACAGAATAGTTAGGAATTCCCTGTATGTGTTTCAAGACTTATTTTTTATTTTTATTTGAAAGGCAGATTTACAGAAAGAAGGAGGGACAGAAGAAGAAAGAGCGACATCTTTCATCTGCTTGTTCATTCCCTAGAGGCTGCAATGCCCAGATCTGAGCCCATCAAAAGCCAGGAGCCAGTGGCTTCTCTCTGAGTCTCCTAGGCTGGTGCAGGGACCAAGGACTTGGGCCAGTGTCTGCTGCCTTCCCAGGCCTGGGAGTGGAGCAGCTGGGACAGAAGCTGGCATCTGTATTCGATGCCCGTGGAACCACTGTGCCGGTCCTGTTGTTTTGGTTTTGATGCTGAGTATGTTCCAACACCAAGCAACTCTGATATCAAGTATTCTAGAAAGCTCTTCCAACT